CCTGGGAGCTGCTCCGCTCGCCCCGGGAGCCCCCGGCGGCCCAGAGCTTCCACGGCTGCCTGTACCGGACGTCCCCGGACCCCGCGCAGCTGGGCGCGGCTTACAGCGTGGGGCTGGTGGTGGCCTGCTACCTGCTGCCCTTCCTGCTCATGTGCTTCTGCCACTACCACATCTGCAAGACGGTGCGCCTGTCCGACGTGCGCGTGCGGCCCCTGACCACGTACGCGCGCGTGCTGCGCTTTTTCAGCGAGGTGCGCACGGCCACCACCGTGCTTATCATGATCGTCTTCGTCATCTGCTGCTGGGGGCCCTACTGCTTCCTGGTGCTGCTGGCTGCGGCCCGGCAGGCCCAGGCCGCGCAAGCCCCCTCGCTCCTCAATGTGGTGGCCGTCTGGCTGACCTGGGCCAATGGGGCCATCAACCCTGTCATCTACGCCATTCGCAACCCCAACATTTCGATGCTCCTGGGGCGCAACCGGGAAGAGGGCTACCGGACTAGGAACGTGGACGCTTTCCTGCCCAACCAGGGCCCCGGTCTGCAGGCCAGAAGCCGCAATCGCCTTCGAAACCGCTACGCCAACCGGCTGGGAGCCTTCAGCAGGATGTCCTCTTCCAACCCGTCCAGCGGGATGGGAGGGGACGTGGCCATGTGGGCTCGAAAAAACCCAGTTGTGCTTTTCTGCAGGGAGGGGCCCCTAGAACCAGTGACAGCAGCGGTCAAACAGCCTAAGTCTGAAGCTGGGGACACCAGCCTCTAAGAAAGGTTGGGATTCACAGCTTGTAAAGGCAAATTTTCAGCTGCACCGTTTGATGATACGGGATTCTGGGGAGAATCGTGTATTTCATAAAGCCAAACATTTAAAAAAGAGACAGAGGGGGAGGCTTACCCCTTCCCCCAAACAACATACAAGACAATGTGCCCTTCTTCAAAAGTGCCAAGTGTAAAATGCAAAAATTAAAATATTAAACCACACAACCAAGCATTGTGAACTGTAAGTGCCAAAAATGAGAAAAATAACATTCACAATTACTGAAAAGCTCTTATTATAAGAATCACACTGTGAAACAAACAAAATCATTGAATGCAACCAGGATTTGTTCAAATACAGAGAGTTTCAGGAAAGGATGGAGACTCTCAGAATCACTTGAAGGCTCCCCTAAATCACCAGAATTCACCAAAGTTGAGATTTTTAGAACTTGCACCTCTGACACGTGCTTTGGGTGCTTAGGTTGGGAACGAAAAATTCTTGTCCTTACACGTTTTGGTGCGCTTCCTCGCACCCGTGTCCCTATAATCTTTGTGGGAAATTTTATATTCATAGACCATTTTAAACCATTTTCGGATTTTGAAAGGTAGCTTATTACCATAAAATCAACCATCTGAAGGGCAGATAGAAGTATGAAAATAAAGAAGTGTGGCTGTTTATAAATGTATTCCAAAATTATACTTAAAAAAATTAATATCCCTCATTGTGTCCCCCAAATTATCTGCCCTGGGAAGTCTTGAGGCTTTACCCTTACTCTAACCTGATACTTTTGTTTCTAATCACATGGGGGATGCTGTTCACAGAGTGCTTTTACATTTTTAAAAAATAACTTTCATAATAGAAGATCGTTGCCTTTTGAGGTAAATTTGATTTTCAGATGCAGCCAAAAATATAACTTGAAGTCAAGTTGATTGAATCAGGTAAGTAATGACACTTTTTCATATATATAAAAAAATGAGAGCTCTATAAAGTAACAAGACTGGCTTTCCTATGTGGCTAACTGAAGATGAGTACAATGAAGAATTCTAAAAATATTTTGAGAAGTGGCTGTATTCTTAGAATAAGCGTAGAGCTTTCCAAGGGCTTCATACCCTTCTACATTTGGAAGTTTGGTTATATTTATGAAAAAAAATGAATCATTGCTTTTATAGACATGATTTGTCTAAACTAACATTATTAAAAAGGGAGAATAGATGTGGTGTTCTTGCATATAGTAGAATATTAATAATTTGGGCATAAGGTCAGAAAGTAACTTCAATCAAGCTGGAAATATTTTCAGAAATGTGAAAACCAAAGATGCTTCTTTTTTTAAAGTTATTTATTTATTTTTAGAGAGAGCACAAGTGGGGAGGAACAGAGAGAGAGGGAGAGAGAGAATCCCAAGCAGGTTCCACACTGTCAGTGCGGAGCCTGATGCAGGGGCTTGAACCCATGAACCGTGAGATCATGACCTGAGCTGAAATCAAGAGTCAGTCGCTTAACCGACTGAGCCACCCAGGAGCCCCTAAAACAAAGACGCTTCTTAAAATTCAAAAGCACAATTCCAGGTTTGTGTGTCTGAAATTTTGCACATTAAATGCCACCGTTCACAGAATCGTTTACTCGGAATTTTGAAAGATACTGTTTTCTCCCTCTTTCTTTCCTTCCCTCCACTTGCTCCTCTTGCCTTCAACATTTCACAGCCTTCATTGAATGAGTACTTTAAACTAGATATGAAATGACATCAGCTATCATGTTAAAATTTCAATGTGAAATAGCCACCTTTTTTTTCTTGCATTTAAAGATGTTAATTATTTTTTACACTTCTGTGTGATAGGTGGGTGTATTTTGTAATCAAAGATGGAAAAATATGATTCTGTCAGAGCTGAAGGTATTTAATTTCTCCCCCATGCTCAAGGCATCATCACAATCATAAGTTCATAAGTTTATACATTATCTGTATATATCTTGCTATACTCAATGTAGTGCAAAGTAGATGAGGTAATCTTTACTCTTTAGCACTTAGTATATATGTGTGTGTGTGTGTGTGTGTGTGTGTGTGTGTGTATGTCTACATACATATGTGTGTATATATATATACACACACACACAGACTTAATGCAGCTGAACAAATATTTAACGTATATCTACAGTATTTGCCTGTTAAAGTCAAAACAATTGTGTATTTTTTGGCATTCTGAGAAAATGGAAGTCATGTCTGGCACTTGGGAGGACATGATAAAGTCTTCCAGTTAGGAAAGTTATCAGAGGATAGGAATTCAGCGACTGTGAATAATGGCAAAGAGTTAGGGATCTTAGGGGAAGGAGGCAAATGTACAAAGTGGGGTATTCCCTGAAAAGAAAACTCAAAGGAAGATATTTAAAAATTAACATGGCGTGGAATAACCCTTCTGGTGAGTGAAGGGAAAATCTGAGAGACTGGAAGTGACAAGGTGGTGGCACGAGGGACTTTAAGGCAGGAAAGGAGTCCCATCCTAACTGTCGGTGTAGGTAGTGGTAGGAAGTTTTAAGAAAAGGATAGCTTGGGGAAGAAACCATTCCGTCAGGACCTGTAAGAGTCATGGTTGGCAAAAATGGGAGGGAAAAGAAAAAGCAATGCTAATAAGTTACTAAAAAAATTATAGTGTTATTTGCTTGTTTGTTTATTTGAGGCTATACAACTAGTCAGTGATAGAACTAGGATTTGAACCACCAGTCTGTCTGGCTTTGGAGCCCTGTGTTCTCTTCCTTTACCCTCTGTTGTTCCTCAATGGTCAGAGGATAGAGAAACTAAAGATGAGAACTTAGCATCACCACCACCACCACTATTATCATCATCTAGAGTTTTTATTTCCTACTTCACATTGGGCAATTTCCTGGGTGCTAAGTCTACTGAAAGGTAAAAATCACAGTACCTGCTTTAAGAGGGCTTACAGTCTAATTGAGGACCTCGAGCTTATAAAAATTGGCCCTAATCCGGACTCTACCTGTGGGGAAGAAAAGGTGTCACATTTTCAGAAACCGTTATCAAAAGAGATGGATTTAGAAGCAAAAGATATGTAGATAAAGGCCAGCAACCAATCTGGTTCGGTTGTAAATACTTAGAGACAGAAATCGATGCCTTGAATAAAAGACGGAGAAAGATTGACTCTCAAATATAAGACAGACCTTTCCTCACATTGAGTGCACGATTATAGTGATTTTGTTTAAAAAGGAGAAAGAGGGGTGCCTGGGTGGCTCAGTCGGTTAAGTGTCCGACTTCGGCTCAGGTCATGATCTCGCGGTCCGTTGAGTTCGAGCCCCGCGTCGGGCTCTGTGCTGACAGCTCAGAGCCTGTAGCCTGCTTCAGATTCTGTGTCTCCCTCCCTCTCTGACCCTCCCCCATTCATACTCTGTCTCTCTCTGTCTCAAAAATAAATAAACATTAAAAAAATTAAAAAATAATAAAATAAAAAGGAGAAAGAGAAGCTATGAAATATTGAGATATGTTAAATATTGGTCAGCATGCAATCCTTCATGTGTCATTCTGCTCCCAGTTTGAGTGTTTCCTTTGAATGACAAGAGCCACGAGTCACGCTCACCATAGTACATACATTACCCCATCTGCTCCTCAAAGCAACTCTCTAGGAAGATACTATATTATCACTGCCCCCATTTTACAGATGAGAAGACTGAGGCACAGAGGTGCTATGTGATTTGACCGCGGTGACACAGGAAGTTTGCACTATACATAAGATTTGTACCTAGCAGATGGGCGCCAAAAGTCCCATCTTAACCACGGCACTGTGCTGCCTCTCTTAACGTGTAAAAGAAAATGGGAAACCCGGAGAAGAGCCAGAGAAGATAAAGACAACACTAAAGGGATGGAGAAATAAATATCATCAAATGTAAAAGAAAAGATTTGTTTGAGTTGGAGAACAGCTACATAAGATATGTGATTTTCAAATATATGAAGAGACGCTGGGCAGCTATTTTCTAGTATAATCTCAGCCCTGGCAGACCCCAGTCGTCCGTCTTCTCCATTCCTGCTCCAGAAGAGCTGAGCACAACCGGAGGAAAATCGTAGATCAGATCGAGTACCCTCTGCACCTAGCGTCCATGGCTTCTCTCAGCCCCTCTACCCTGCCCAACAATTTAAACCTTTTTGCTTGCCAGCTCACTCTTTCTGCTCACTTTAGTGACCCTTCGTACTTTCTCTGCTCAAACTTATAACTGACCTTCCCCTCTTGAAAGATGAACATTACAAGCTAACCTGGATTTATACCAGTCCTCAGCTCTGTCTTTCCACTAGTAAAGAAAGTGGGGCCCTTTCTAGCCCCAGGAACCTCATGCCATCGATACTTTCCTGGTATCCTTAGTCTTTCTCACTGAACCAAATCCCTCTTGTGAACCCATAAGCTCTCACTTAAAAGGAAAAAACCGCAAAGCCTCTCCTATTCCTCCTTCCCTTTTATCTCTCTCAATTCCCTGCCTTCAGCTGAACTTGTAAAAAAAAAAAAAAAGCCTATACTTTTACAGCTGATCTAAATCCTAGTCTACAATTTTGATGGTGCAAGAAATTGTCATTCTTATGCAATTAAAATTTTCCCCAATCCTCTGTTCTGCCACATAGAAACTTAACATGGCAGTATCTAGGTTCTAGGGGCTTATTTAGTACCAAGCATTGGTAAACATCAGTCTTCAGTGGTGATTCATCCGTCCTGGCATCCACCAGTCAGTCTCCAGTCACATCCAAAATTTATGCATGATTATTCCCTCACTCAGTCTGGGAGGACCCAGCTCTAACTATGGACCACTTTTAGAGCTCCTCTTTGGACACAAAAAGATAATTACCCTGTCTCAGCATCATGGAGGGCTATGCCACACCCATAATACTGTCTCAGGCTGCTTTTTAAAAATTAGGTTAAGAGTTTATGTATTTATTTTTTGAGAGAGAGAGAGAGCAAGCCAGTGGGGCAGGGGCAGAGAGAGAGGGAAAGAGAAAATCCCAAGCAGGCTCCATACCTTCAACG